AAGGTGCCACTGGACTGTTTTGGGCCGGGGGGGGCGGGGGAGCTCTGCAATTTACCTGCCTGCTTCTTGTTCTGACTGAAAACTGCTGGGAGCAGGGGATGGGGCTTGTTGCATGTGCCCGCCCCCTGGGCTCTTTACTGCCGGAGCTCTGCTGTAGGAAATGACCCCTGTGTGTGTGTGTGTGTGTGTGTGTGTGTGTGTGTGTGTGTGTGTGTGTACACACACACATACACACACACACTGTATTACTGTACTGGATTTTGTTGTTGCTGTCAACGGCCCTGAGCCCTGTGAACTCAGGGAAGGGCGGTATATGAATTGAATTTATAAATAAATAAATTAAATAAATCACGCCTGCTTCCCTTGCTCTTGAATTGTAACGGCCTGGGAGCCGCCTCTCTGCTACCATCACGTCTTTCCCGTCACGCTAATTTATAAACGTGTGTGAAAATAGGACTATGCTTGTTCTGTGTATAGGAAGTGTGGGCACAAAACGCAGCAGCTAGGCATGGAAGAGCTGGACCGTGCCGGGGGGGGGGAGTCTCAGAGCTGACGGAAAAGGTGAGCGGGGGCCCCCGGCCACTGTGCCCTGCTCAAGCCGTCTTCCCTTGCTCCAGTCCTGCCACATCTCCGTAACGGAGTCACAGCCAAGGCTCCCTCTAAGCTGTGGAGTCTTGTGAGCAAAAATTCTACTTTATTAGCTCCTGGGATTAAAGTTGTGAGCGAGCAATTGGGCTACTGCGTACATTAGCTTGCTCTGGAGTCATCCCCCCTGAGCCGAGTCAAAAATGTGTGAGCCGGAGGCTAAAAAACTGTGGGCTAGCTCACACTAACTCAGCTTAGAGGGAACACTGGCTCACAGCAGCACATGCAGGGCGACTTTAATACCAAGTAAGGCAGGGGTCCCCAACATGGTGCCCAAGTGGGTGGAGCCAGATGGGTCTCTTCTCCAGCAGGGCTTCCGACTGGCCACTGAAGATCCAACTGACTACGTAGATTAAAATAACGTTGTTCGGCCGCCGGCTACCATCGTAGTGCTGGTTTTAGTCTCTCTCACGCTTCTTTACCAGTTTATTTTTTTAAAAATCAATCTGCCTCTCCCCTGCAATTGACCTTCCTCTCTGTGTTTGGCTCCACCTTCTGGGGTAGCCATTTTTGGAAAAGGCTCCACCTCTTCTGGTAGCCATTTTGGGATCATGCCCACCACCTTCTCAGAATTCCAAAGTTGCCTGTGGGCTGAAAATGTTGGGGACCCCGAGAAAGCTTCACAGGACCCATTCCCAATATCTGTCAGCTTAGACTATGGTCCTGGTGCGTCTAAAAACGTAAGGAGCTCTGCCGATCAGACTAAAGGTCTGCTTAGGCTGTTATCCTGCTTCCAATTGTGGCCAACCAGATGCTTACAGGAAAGCCCAGGGCATGAAGAAGGAGAAGAGAAGAGATTGGATTTATCCCCCGCCCTTCACTCCCCAAAGGAGTCTCAGAGCGGCTTTACAAATTCCTTCCCCGCCTCACAACAGACACCCTGTGAGGTAGGTGGGGCTGAGAGAGCTCTTAACAGAAACTGCTCTTTTTTCAAGGACAGCTCTTATCAGAACTATGGCTTGCCCGAGGTCATCCAGCCAGGTGCAAGTGGAGAAGTGGGGAATCAAACCCAGTTCTCCCAGATCAGAGTCTGTGCACTTAAACACTACACCAAACTGGCTGCAACATCCCTCCACCATTGGGCCCCCTCCTCCCTGCCTCTGAATCTGGAGGCTCTATTCAGCTACCGGAGCCAGTGTGACTGACAGACTCATCTTCCTCTGTCCATCTGCCTACTCACTTTGATTGACTGATTGATTGATTGATTACATTTTTATCCCACCCGGCCGAGACCGGCTCAGGGCGGCTTACATAAAACACCTAAAATTTTAACGATACACGTAAAATAGATTAACAACAACAATTAAGCAATTCTAAAACCATAAATACAATAAAGTGCTAGTATCGATATATTTAGCAATTTCACAGCGGTAGTTGTTACACAACTCTCTCTCTTCGCAGCCAGCTCTTTTGGTCTTCTTAGATCGTCTTAGGTGGCTGGCTCAGGCTATAGTTAGAAATCCCAGGGAGAAACAGGGTTCTCCCATCTCAAGCTGTCAGCGGTAGCTCCAAAAGCCTGGTGGAAGAGCTCCGTTTTACAGGCCCTGCGGAACTGCAGAAGGCCCCACAGGGCCCTGATCTTTTCTGGGAGCTCATTCCACCAGAATGGAGCCACCACCGAGAAAGCCCTGGCCCTGGTTGTTACTAGCCTGGCCTCCCTGAGACTCGGGAGGGCCAGCCGATTCTGAGCCCCTGATCGCAGTGCTCTCTGGGGTACATGTGGGGAAAGGCGGTCCCCTCTAAAAACTCCCTTAGCCAACTGCATGATGTATCCAGTTAACCAACCTAGCTTTGTTTCCTGCATCCATGAGGTCTGCGATGTCAGTGTAAGAAGTGACAGCAAGTTTGGACAGGTCTTCCACATAGGGCCCAAGCAGAGGGTGCTCCCGAACACGAAGGTTTCCCTTGTTCTTGGGGTTCAACAAGTCTCTTACTCTCTCACAGTAGATCTCCATGTAGCTGACCTGAAAACAGACACATACAAGCAAATTAAAGCTCAAGTCTTCTTTAGGAAAACCCCGACTGAATGTCTTTCAATGAATGAGCAATACAGAGTGTTAAGAGGATTAGCAGTACTGCTGAACTAGGCCATACAGATGCCGTCATGTACTTAGAGAGATCTCTGCTGTTAAGACAAAATTCCGCATCCAAGGCGGCTTAATTTTCGTGCTCACAAAGTTTCAGAACAAAAGGAATCAATATATACCCAAAAATAGAGTTTGCCAAAAGAGTTAGAGAAGCACTCTCTAGATCAGTGTCTAAAAATATAACATGGCTTTATACCAGTTCCACAGAAATAGAAATGGAATAGCTCCCTTCACTGTTCAAATCTGGACAAATGAAAAATTATTTTCCCTACTGGAGAAAAGCCTTCAGAGGACTAGGGGCAGGCAGCTCACATATCACTGCACAATCCTCTCCAGTCAAAGTGTGCACGAAATGGTGAGGATTACGAAAAGGGGCTGGTATGGTAGATACACCCCGGGAAACTGTTGTTCAGGCCAGGCAGCAGTGAGCTTCACCGGTACGAGTAAGTAACAGATATGCAGAGGCACACCTGGGTTCTTGGTACATCCAAGCTTCTTTCAAGAAGCAGTCAAGGAAGGCTATAAAACCTTCTCACATTATTACTTTATGTATCAGAGAGACTTCCAGGATGACTTTTGCACTGTCATGGGCACGGGTGAGGATGAGCTGACAGAACCTGCAGAAACCACAGCTGGCCCCTCTGAAGCAGCAGAGGAGGATACCTTGCAAGTGCCTGTAACAGCAGTCTTCACACCTGGCCCAGAAAAGAAGGAAGAACTGCAAGCTGAAAGTCCTCCTGACTCACCCCCACGTGTGACTCGTTTAAGGGAGCGGCTGCGGCAAAACTTAGCAACCAGGCGAAGAGAGGCCAGGCTACAAAGGAGACGCTCAGCCACCCCAGAGTTCTAAGAGGAGCCTGGCCGATCGTGCAGCTGGCTAATTGGTAGCAGCATTTAACTCCACACTCTGGGCAGTGCTCTTCGTGGAAGCAACAAGTCAGCTTCGTCCTGCTAGCATCCAATCCGGCTCGGCTCTTGCACCTAGACCTTCGGACCCCCTGGCTTTGGACTTGGCTCTGCGTTCCTGGCCCCGGCTTGGCTTTTTGGACTTTGCACTGTCTTCTTGGCTCCTGACCTTGGCCTGCTCTGCTCTCCGTTTCACTGGCACCCCAGCCCGTGACATACACAACCTAAGTGGCATGATAGCAAGGGACCTCAAGGCAAGGGTTGGACTTGCCCACCCAGGAGATCCCCAGGAATGACACTCAAAAATGTTCACTGAACAATTTAGTCCTTTTGAAGCAGAAGAAAATGGTGATTACAACCTAGAAACATCCCTTTCATTGCAAGCCCCAGAGGGCCACCCTCCCACTTCTCACCTGCCAAGACCTCTTTGCCCGCAGCATCACTGCCTTGGTGGCCGAATCCCCATTGCCCTGGGTCTCAGCACCCCGCCTAGAACATCCTACTCTTTTCATTCCCCCTTCCTGTGCGTTTGCCCTCCAGAACCATCTCCCTAAACACTTCCTTCTCTACTGGCCATCAGCTGCCATCAGCACTCTCCACAAACACAAGCATGACTCATTTCAGTGAAACGAAGAGAATGACGGTGTAGAAGCAATTTATTATTACTCATCACAGCTTCCCGTGCCATAAAGGTATATGAAAGCAGGAAGCTGCCTTCTCACAAGTCAGACCACTGGTCCCCAATGCTCCCTCTAAGCTGTGGAGTCTTGTGAGCAAAAATCCTACTTTGTGCGCTAATGGCATTAAAGTTGTGAGCGAGCGATTGGGCTGCTGCTTAAATCAGCTTGCTCTGGGGGCCATCCTTCCTCAGCTAAAACAAAAATGTGTGAGCTGGAGGCTAAAAAACTGTGAGCTAGCTCACACTAACTCAGTTTAGAGGGAACACTGCTGGTCCCTCTCGCTCAGTATTAAGAACATAAGAGAAGCCAATGTTGGATCAGACCGAGAGCTCCTATCTATTTGTTGTTCAGTCGCACAGTCGAGTCCGACTCTTCACGACCCCATGGACAAGATCTCGCCAGGCCCTCCTGTTTTCCGCCGTCCTCTGAAGTTTGCTCAATTTTATGTTCGTTGCATCGATGACACTGTCTAACCATCTCATCCTTTTCCGTCCCCGTCTTCTTTGACCTTCAATCCTTCCCAGCATCAGGGTCTTCTTCTCCAGTGAGTGCTCCCTTCTCATTTGGTGGCCAAAGTATTTGAGCTTCATTTTCATTATCTGGCCTTCCAGGGAACAGTCAGGGTTGATTTCTTTTAGGATTGACTGATTTGATCTTCTTGCAGTCCAAGGGACTCTCAAGAGTCTTCTATACCTTGTGGCTAAGAGCCACTGATGGACTTCTGCTCCAGATGCTTATCTAATTATCTTGTTATTGTTATCTGTTATTGGTCCCGACTGCCAACAGCTCTCCCCGGGCCTCAAATGAGAAAGGTTTTCCTGACCACCAGCTACCCAAGATACTTCAACTGGTGCTACTACCAGAGACTGAACCGGGGTCTTCTTCTTGCAAAGCAAGGGCTCTGTCTTCCAGCCATTCCTCCTTCCAGATTACAGGCAGGCCTGCCATTTGGATGGAGTCCAATTGAGACTGCAGGTCCCACCCCACAGCTTTGTATTTTACAGCCCCGGTTTAAGGGGTGAAGTCAGTACTGTTATTGTTACTGTCACACCTATTTCTTACAAAATGCTCGTCTGAAGACAGAGCCGGAAGCTATACTGGGGGAAGCTGGGGAAGCAGTTGCTCGCAATTGCCAGAAACGTTCTGTACTGAGTGTTCACTTTGCATGTTCGCCAAATCAAAACCTGCCCCCCCTCCCCCTGCATGGAGCTGATTCAGCAGGTCTAAAAGAACTGAGCAGAAGCAACCCATTTGTCTGTCAAGAGAGGAGGCCTGACTAAACATATGGAACAAATGCACCCCGCAAAGTGCTATTTTTACATAGGCTGTATTTTAATCGTTGGCCAACTTTGGATACGCATCCTTCTGAATGCTGACTTGGCTGGCAGCCTGGAAGTTGTCACTGTGTGTTGAGCTTAAGAGGAAGAACTAGTTTGCTCAGGCGGGGCCCCATCCGCTACGCTCCCTTCCGGTCACCCACATTCAGAGCATTCCTTTGGCCCGGGCCGACACTGCATTCAAACCCCTGTAATCTGTGCAGAGTCTCAGGCCCCCATCCTTCCTTTTGCGAAACAGGACCGCGAAGGGGGAGGAGAGCCGTCAAGAGCACCTATAAGCGTTCCAAGGCTGCTATTCATTAAGAACGCCAGAACAGCCCTGCTGGATCAGACCAAACATACATCCTGACCAGCTACCTGTTTCCCAACATGGCCGACCCAACAACCATGAGAAAGCCTACGAGCCAGCTGCCGAAGACATCCCCCCCACCCCCGTTTTGCCACCGGACAAGTGGCATTCAGAGGTATATTTATTTACTTATTTATTTAATTATAGATTCAATTTACAGACTGCCCTCCCTGTGCACGGAGCTCAGGGCAGTTCACAACAATTCCAACAGCCTCAGTTACAGATTAAAATAAAACAAAACAGTAAAATGCAGAACAATTTCAGATGATGCTGAGAGTTAGGCCAAATTGTAACCTTACTCCGTAGGGAAATGGGAGTGGCCAGGCTAGATGGAAACCACTCCTGTCCTCAGCCATAGGCCTGGGGGAAATATCTCTGCCTTACAGGCCCTGCAGAACTGGACTAAGTCCCACCGGGCACAGATTTACTTATATTTACCTAAAACACTTATTAGCCACCTTTCCCCCTTGTGGAACTCAAGGCGGCTTACAATATAAATGCAGCATTATAAAAACACAACAAAAACAATTATAAGACCCATAAAAGTCACAGTTTAAAAACTCCAATTAGGATGGCCAATAATAAAAGCTAAATCACTCAAGATGCGGTCCTGAATAAAACTGTCTTGGACTGCTTCCTGAAGATCAACAGTGAGGGGGCCGGGTTGCTTCATAACTGTGGGGTGGCCACTGAAAAGGGACTCTCTCCTGTAACTCATCAAACAAGCATCTTTAATCGGTGGGGCAGTCAGGAGTCAAGTCCAAAGTACTTTTCTCCCTTTCTCACAATACCAAAACTCGTGGGCACTCTGTGAAATGGCTGAGCAGTCGGGTTAGAATGGATAAAAGGAAGTCCTTCTTCACCCAAAGAGTGATTCACACATGGGATTCACTGCCACAGGAGGTGGTGGCAGCTATAAGCACGGACGGCTTCAGGAGGGAACTGGATGAACATATGGAGCAGAGGTCCATCGGTGGCTATTAGCCACAAGGTATAGATAAGAACTCTTGGTCTGGGAGACGTGCTTGGGGGACGACAACAGTGGGAGGGCTTCTAGTGTCCTTGCCCCACTGCTGGACCTCCTGATGGCACCTGGTCTTTTTGGCCACTGTGTGACACAGAGTGTTGGACTGGATGGGCCACTGGCCTGATCCAACATTGGCTTCTCTTATGTTCTTATGTCCCCATGATCTTAATTCCTGGGCAGGAATGTATGGGAGAAGAGAGTTCTTCAGATAACCCATCCCAAGCCATTTAGGGTTTTAAAGGACAAAACCAACACCCTGAATTGCACTCTGGACCGGGTCAGTGGCCAGTGCAACTGCTACAGTATCGGGGACATATTGATCCAGCATTGGCTTCTCTTACATTCTCTTCTGTTCTTATGTCCCCATGATCTTAATTCCTGGGCAGGAACGTATGGGAGAAGACAGTCCTTCAGATATCCCATCCCAAGCCACATAGGGTTATAAGGACAAAACCAACACTCTGAATTGCACTCTGGACCGGGTCAGTATCGGGGACATATGCTACCAATAGCTGGCCCCGACCTGCAGTCTGCCTGCGGCATTCTGCCCTAGTTGCAACTTCCAAACATTCTTCAAGGTATACTGCCTCTGAACACAGAGGCTCCATTTAGCCACTGCAGCTAAAAGGCATTGGTGGAACAATTCTCATGCCTCAAACCTCTGAGAACAAGTGTAAATGTTTTTTTTTTTTTTTGAGTTAGAGGTACATATCTCTTGAAACTCAAAGAGATCTAGAGCAGGGGTGTCAAACATGTGGCCCGGGGGCCGAATCAGCCCCCCCCCCCGGGGGGGCCTCTTCCGGCCCCGCAGTGGAATTGGCTATCTTCTGATTCTTCTTCCAGTTCTGCTACTGCTGCGTCATCATAGGTTTGCAGCTTACAGATACACACCTGAACAGCATACTCAAGATTGCAACAACACAGACATTTTGATGCAGTAATTCAGAGCAAGAGGTGTCCGTTATCAGACACTGTTAAATAAACAAAATATTGCAAGAGTGCTAGTGTCTGAAAGCATGATTTTATTTTAAGTAAAAAAAAACTTTGTGTTTGTGTCCTTTATAAAGTTTATATCTCCGCAACCTGGCATTACATTTTATGACACACATGGCCCGGCCCAACAAGGTCTCATTTATGTCCAATCCAGCCCTCAAAACAAATGAGTTCGACATGCCTGATCTAGACTGTGCACCAGTTACCTACCTACCTACATATTCTGCAGGAGTCACTGTTCTAATAAGTCATCTGAAGTAGAAAGAGGCAAGCCAAAACAGCAACTCATGCAGAGATGCAACAGGCAGCATTCTCTGAGGGCCACTGACCGTGTTGTGCTTCTAAACTGATACAAACCATATGTGATGCAGTCAGGAGATGGACTGGACAGAGACATGGCCAGAACAGAGGATCACACAGAAATGCGGCAGGCAGCCTCTTCTGCACAAGAATGCCTTCTATTCAGAGGATTCTTTACTTAACTGTCTTTCTCTTCATTGGGGAATCACTGCACTAAATCCTGGCAGTTTTCCACAGAGGATGCGGATAGCCTCTATCTAAGGAGTCCAAAGCAGTAACCCAGAATGTGCCTTACATTCCACTGGGATTACAGAAATGAGCCAGAGAGGAGCTTCAACTTTCACTCCCCTTTTGTTGAAAGAATCAGAAATGGGAAGATTGCAAATGGCAGCACAGTCAGCCATGGAACCACGAACAGTTGCGTGGTTCAGATACAGGATTCGAAGGGCCAACTGACATTGCCCAAAAATGCCAGGCATGACGCAAACTCACTACGACAACCACACAGCGCTGCTCATTTTGCTGCCAGCTGATACGGTTTGGCAACGAATGCAAGCTTTGTCTCCCATCAGGCCTCTATGCTCACGCTCCCGTTCAAGGGGTTTCCCAAGGAGCAGGGACAGATTAAGAAACGATTATTTTGGGATTTCTCTCCCCACAGCGCACATACATTCCATCTCACATTTTGTTTGTGGTGATAAGGCTCGGCAACTTATGAGAACTAAGATTCTCTCAGGAAGCTCAGGCCAGAAGGTCCTTTCCTGTACATCCTCCCACCCCCCATATTTGCAAGGGGACCAAGGATTATTAGTATTATTATTAATCATATTTTTATTCTGCCCTTCCTCCAAGCAGCTTCCTCGGGAGGGGGTGGGCTCTCCTTCTTGGGAGATTTTTAAGCAGAGGCTAGATGGCCATCTGACAGCAATGCGGATTCTGTGAACTTAGGCAGATCATGAGAAGGGAGGGCAGGAAGGGTTGCCTCAGTGCTTAGTTCTCGTAGCCCTTTCTTACATGCCCAGGGAAATGCTGATTGCCACTTCAGGGTCAGGAAGCAATCCTGGAGGTTTTTTGTCATCTTCTGGGCATGGAACAGCAGTCACTGCGGGTGTGGAGGGGGGATTATTTGTGAATTTCCTGCATTGTGCATGGGGTTGGACTAGATGGCCCCGGGGGGTCCCTTCCAACACTTTGATTTTATGTTTCTATGACCTCCTGCTTTACAATTTGTCTTCCCAACAACCTCACAAGGTTGATCAAACACAGAGTGTGATTGGCTTAAGCTCATCCAGTTAGCATCCATGGCGTACGGGAGGGTCCAAACCCAGATCTTCCCAGTCCTAGCCCGTTACTCTAACCACGACACCACAGTGGGCTGCAGGTGCCAATGTTAAAAGAGGGCTCGACCTGCCTTAATACAGCCTTGTTTCTTCTGGAAATAAAACAGAGGTGACTGTGAACTGCACCCTTGAAAAAAGTCAGCTGATGCCTTATGCTCACCTCCACCGAGTATGATATTTCCTCGTTGCTGTTGTCGTTGATCTTCTCAAACAACTCTTCGCAGAGCTAGAAAGAGATTGAGAGAGCTTCAGACTACAAAAACATACGGGGGGGGGGTGAGACACACACAATGGGTGACAGAAACGGCAGCGTGGTTCTTGGCTTCCAGGGCTCCCCCAAAACAGAGTGCCAGGCAGGAAGGCCGCTCTCCCTTCATCTTCCCCCCCTCCGGATACACACACAAATCACCAGGCAGGCAACTGTGGCCAAATTCAACTAATATTAATCTGCACCATTAAAAAAAATGATAAATAAGCTCCAGCAACAGAAGGGACTGGCCACGCAAAACAGAAAGAAGTGGGGCGGGCCTCTGAGAGAAAGGGTGATTAAGACTGCCAAAACCCAGCTGTAAAAGCATTAAAAATCTCTGCATGTTTTTAGGAAAGGAATCCTTTGAGCTCATCTGTTTGTCTGAAAAGGTTCCAAGAGATGGCTGTACAAGAAAAGGAAACTAAGAGTCAGAGGTCCCCCCCCCCTTTCAACAATCTCTTTAACTCCAAGTTACCCACTGACTGTATCCGGAGGGATCCAAAACTAGCAGCTTGCTTTTGATGAGAATAAGCAGGGGTCATTTCCTGCAGGAGCGCACAGGAGCGGAGCTCCGGCAGTAAAGAGCCCAGGGGACGGGCACATGGAACAAGCCCCACCCCCTGTCAGAGCAGCCCTCAGTCAGAGCAAGAAGCAGCCAGGGAAGTTGCAGAGACCTCCACCAGCCCCCCCCCCCGGTCCAAAACAGTCCAGTGGCACCTTTAAGACCAAGTTTTATACAGGTACAAGCTCTCCCTCCTCTGCCAGGACAGATCTGTAGGTCGTCCCCCACCCCAATAGCTAGCAATCCAAAACAGTCCAGTGGAGCCTGAGCGGTGGGTGTTGCCATCTGACACACCTCCAGTGATGTCAGGGGGTGTGGCATATGCAAATGAGTTGTGCTAATGAGTTATGCTAATGAACTCCTGCACCTCTTTTTCTATGAAATGACCCCTGAGAATAAGCCAGTTCCCCCACCCAGCCCAGAGCTCAAAAACTCCCTTTCCTCCCATGGCACCCAGACTTCTTTGTTTAGGAAGCGTTGGCTCGAGCCGCAGTTTGTTGTACAGAACTGAATGCTGCAACCAACATAGGTTTGCTTGCTACCCACAAACAGAGATTCTCAGCCAGAATGTGTTAAGGCATGTGAGGGGACAGAGCTCTGAAGACTGAGAATAAGCAGAGATGTGTTTGATCAGAATGGCTGAACACAACTAGGGTCTCAATGCTATACTACTTCCTTATCCCCCCTCCGAACACACACACACTTTGCATGTAGAACTTCAGACTACCACAAGTGAGAAAGCAAGCTTATATGGACACTCATCCCTAGATAGTCTTCCCCGGTAGGGTGCTTTGTTATTAAAAAGAAAAAGAAGATATTTTCCAAGTCTGCGCCCGAGGATACTCAAAACAATGAAAGTATGGTCAGATCTGCGATGCATTTGTTTCCTTTACTCTGGACCCAGGAAGAGCTCTTTAGATGCCTCTCCCTTTCAGAGGGGGAACAAGGATCTGAAAGGGAGCATCTTCCAACATCAGACAAATATTCTACATGGCAGCCATATACTCCTGCATACAGCTCCTTACGTAAGGAACACATGTAAATCTACACAGCCACAGCAAGGAGGTCCGGTTAGTGGCAAGCTCCTGCTTCACATGCATGTGCGACAATACACATGCATGTGCGACTGTCACGCAACAATCTACAGAATAGCTGCGTGCTTCTCAGAAAATTTTGTGGCATGAAGCAGACTTCACGGGGGGGAATAGCAGATGACCAAAGACAGTGGCTGGGAGTCTGGGGTGAACAGAAGGTAGCTCACAAAGGTCAATTAAAAATCCCTAAAGCTCTTGTTCCCTCTAAGCTGTGGAGTCTTGTGAGCAAAACTTCTACTTTTTGAACTACTAGCATTAAAGTGGTGAGTGAGGGATTTGGCAACTGCATCAGTTAGTCTGCTCTGGAGCCCTCCTTCCTGAGCTGAGACAGAAATGGGTGAGCTGGAGGCTAAAAAACTGTGAGCTAGCTCACACCACTAACTCAGCTTAGAGGGAACACTGCTTGTGACCCTAGAGTTTTCAGAGGAACAGACGTCAATTTTTCATCTCTACGGACATAAGGACTAGAAGCTTCATTCTGCTGGGTCGGTTTTTTTAAATGAAAACTTCCATAATGGCAAATTTAGAGCCATGTATCAGATTCCTTAGTTGCCTTAAATTGTTGTAGATACAAACCTAGCAAATGTAACCAACATCTTAAAGGCTACTATAACAGCTTAACATCTTAAAGGCTACTATAACCAATTTGGTGTAGTGGTTAAGTGCGCGGAGTCTAATCTGGGAGAACCGGGTTTGATTCCCCACTCCTCCACTTCCACCTGGCTGGATGACCTTGGGCAAGCCATAGTTCTGACAAGAGCTGTTCTTGAAAAAGAGCAGTTTGTCAGAGCTCTCTCAGCCCCGCCTACCTCACAGGGTGTCTGCTGTGGGGAGGGGAAGGGAAAGGAGGTTGTAAGCCGCTCTGAGACACCTTTGGGTCGTGAAGGGCGGGGTATAAATCCAATCTCTTCTTCTTCTTCTTAACATCTTAAAGGCTACTTAACATCTTAAAGGCGACTGTAACATGCTCTAAGAGGGGCTAGCCTCTAGGTTCACTGCCGCTGACCAGAATGTAGCAGCTGGGGGGGGTGGTTCCCAAGCACATAAAAAAGGCTCGGTGCCCCATTTGCCTGCCCTCTTTTCCTATTAGGAACACACACACGCCCAACAGCACAAACATCTGGCTGGCATTTCACTTAACCCAGGGGCAACCTCAAGCCGTAACCGAACCCCTGTCAGACGTCGTGTCAGCACTGCATATGTTTTTGCCATCAGCACAGAGCACAGCTTTGCGCTATTTTACGCCAGGAGCACAGAGCCAGGGACTTTGGTGCTGACTCTAAAGCAAAACGATAAAGTCAAAACAGCTCCTTCAGCAAAATGTATTTATTTGAGGCGGCCCGCCCGCATTCGGCTTTGCTCAAACGGTTCGATACCAGGGCCAGGATAGCGCAACAGCAAGTTACGAAAGCCAAATTATATTGTGCCGTGAGAGGCCACCACAGTCAATGGGATATTACACCTGAAACAGAAAATAGTACTTGGCTTCTCCCCACGTATGGCAGGTTCATTTGGGACAGGCACTTGCGGAGTCGTTCTTTGGAGACCAGAAGACGTGGGTTTAACGGTTAAAAAACTGTGTAGGACACAGGCAGCGTCCCCTCTAAGCTGAGTTAGTGTGAGCTAGCTCACAGTATTTTAGCCTCCAGCTCACACATTTTTGCCTTAGCTCAGGAAGGAGGGCTCCAGAGCAAACTGATTTATGCGGCAGCCAAGTTGCTCACTCACAACTTTAATGCCAGGAGCTCACAAAGTAGAATTTTTGCTCACAAGACTCCACAGCTTAGAGGGAGCATTGGATACAAGGCTTTGGGGGGGGGGGAGGTGCCGGAACTCTCAAGAGGGAAACTAAAAACTCACAAACTTTTAAACTAAAAACTCACAAACTTTTAAACATTTTTAAAAAGGATTTTGTTGAAAAGGTTTCGGAATTCTGTTCTGGCACGTTCCCCCCCAGGAAAAAAGCCCTGGTGGGACAGACAGATCACGAGATCTTGGGGAAGGGTAGGCTGCAGCAAAACTGTGTGTCCCAAGCCCAGGTTAACGTCGTCCAAATGAAAGATGAGAAAATGTTTCAGTTTAAAAAGCTGTAAAACAATTTGGAGACTTGACAGCTAAAAGGTAAGACATAAATTAAGTAACTAAAAAAAAAGTGTGGGGAGGGGGAATTAAGCATCCCTGCTGGATTTGACCAGCAATCTATCTGTTCCAGCATCCTGTTTCACACAGCGGCCACCCAGCTGCCCTGGAGGGCCAAACGGGGCATAGAGCCCA